AAAAAAAAAAAAAAAAGAAACGCTGCCTCACCAGTGCTCCAAGGAAACACGGGCTGCTGGTGTGTGGAAAATCACGAACATTAGTGACTCAGCGTTGAAAACCGATGAGCAGTTGGATTCTAAACGTGAAAACGTTTTTGGAAAACCTTAGCCGATATACTTCACCTAGATATTCTTCTTAAATACACCCCAGATTGATATATAAAAATTTGTCTAAGTCCAAAGGAGCTCTTTCAAAAAGAATAAAATAAAAATTCAAAATGGCTAGAAAGTACTGTACATAGTGTAATTGGCAACTTCTTCCCCTTTCTTAGGGGTAAGAAAATAATAGCTCCTCTGATAAAGGGCATCTTAGAGTGGGTGAAACACAGTAGCATGTTCTTATAAGGGGAGACAGCAAGCAGTTTGAACCCCTGAAAGCCTCTGCATGTGAAGGGGCTCCAGATGTCACAGGAACGCGGGATTTAAGGTCCCTCTGAGCCTGCTCATCCTCACAGGGAGAGGTGAGGTGGCCCATGCAGAGAGCAAGCTGCTCAGGAGTTCCTAGGGGCTTTGCAGACGTCTGCCTCAGCAGATCTTCCCTTACCACTGCCCAGGCAAATGTGTACCAGCAGAAAGGGTGTGAGGGTACCCGGTTCAAGCACCATCAAAGGGCCACTCAGCCTCCTGGTAAGGGGGCCAAGTACCTGGAATGCTGCACACTGACCCCTCTTGGTCACTTGAGTCTGTGAAGAAATGTACTTAGAAATGGCCTTTGGATCCTAACCTGCTTGTTAATAATATATATGTGTGGCATTTACCTGTATTGATATACACACATGCACTTGTATGTACGTATATATCTTATATATGGATCTGTGTATGTCTGACACCACTTACATAAGCTCATACACACACACTCACTGACATACATTGTTTGATAACCTGCTTTTTGCAAATACATCTACTCTTTCCATGTCATTACATATTCTCTGTAGTGTCAGTATAAATGATACCATAGAATTCTTCTGGATGGATTTTTCCTCATTTATTTAATCACTCGTATTATTAAAGGATTTCTTCTAGCTACTTGAGGAACATCCTTATGGCCAAGCTATGTGCAGACCTGTAATTTTTTGTTAACTGGATCCTCATGGGTACCTACTAGCAATTCAGACTTTGCATGGTCCAGGAGCAACAGGACCACAGGCCTTTTGCCTGCTTTCTGTTTTTTATAAATGTGTGTGCAGGTTAAAGGGTTAGAATGGGGGTTATGGACATAGTATTAAGCTCAGTCTCTGAAACCACCCAGCCCTGGCTCATCACCTTGGGCAAGGTGTCTTTTAAGTTCTCTGGATCTTCGTTTCCTCGTTTGTAACTTGAGTCTTTGACACGTGCTTTGTAGGACTGTTGATGTAGTAACAAGCATATCAAGTGTCTGTTATCTGGTAGCCCCTAAGTCAGTGTTCGAACAGCTTGGGGGGCTGGGGTAGGGAGAAAAATGTCATGCTGATGGGGTCCCACGGTCCCAGGGGATGATGCGGGGTGCACAGTAGATGCTGCCGTTCATTGACAATTGATACCTCTGCTCCTTCAATCCGGACAGCTGGCCTCCTGGGTGGAACTCCTGCAGCTGCACAGGGCCCTGTACATGGTTCAGTGCTCTGCTCTTGCTGTCTACAAATCCTTAATCTTGAACAGAGGCTCCATATTTCCATGCTGCACTGGGCCCCGCAGATTCTATAGCCAGTTCCCCCTTGTAAGGTTGTTGGCAGCGTGACATGAGAGCTCACAAAGCACATGTCGTAGTTAGGGTGTAATAGGGCTCAGTAATCATTAGATGGATACAGTAATTTTTTTTATGAGCAGAGATACCTATGATAAGTGCATTCATTTAATTATTAAACATGTGAGATAAATACACAATTAATCTAGGAGAGATTAAGAAACTGCGGCTCCAGAAGCTTAATCACCAACTAAAATCACACAGCTTATAAATGCAGAACTTGGATTCAAACCCAAGTCTGTCTCATCCAAAGCCCACACCACTGACGTGCCCTATGAAGTATTAGCTTCCCTCCCTCCCTCCCTTCCTTTCCTTTCTTCTTCCTTCCTTCTTTCTTTCTTTCCTTCTTTCTTCCTTCCTTCCTTTCTTCTTCCTTCCTTCCTTCCTTCCTAGGGAACCTCTCTGTCAAACTCAGTGTTTAAGTGTTCTTGATATTCATCAGCAGCCCAACCCTTATCCCCACCAGAGGTTTAAGAGCCCCTCAAAGATGATCTAGAATTCTGCCAGACCTGGAAACTTTGGGGGCTACAGCAGACAGTAAAGACGCTTCCTCTTTTCAGTACTATCCTGCCATGTCTCCAAGCCTGCTCAGAACTCCATTACCTGGCCCAACCTAGCCAACCTGGTGACAGTTCAGCTTGCTTCCTTTGATTCCTGATAGGCTTAGCTTAGGATGACCAATGTCCAAATGAACCTCCAAACCGCCATGAGAATCAGCAGGAGATCTGCCTGTGTCAGGTCCTGGGAAAGAGGCTGTGGGAGATGCCTATTTCCAGTAGACTGAAGACAATGCCATCTGTCCTGTGGCAGGGATCCCTTGCTTTCCTACAGTGCCAGGTCATGATTTGTTCTGCCCACTCTTCCCTGCCAGAGAGAGAGAGAGAGTGAGAGAGTGAGGGGAGGGAGGGAGGAAGAGAAAGGATCCATTCCACCACACTGCTAATAAGCAGGCATACAGCATGGTGTGGGGAGGCTTCAATGCAAGTTTGCTTATGGTGTGTGGCCTTCGAGCAGGGAAGTTAATACTTGAGCATTTCATCTCTTGGATATCCGGATTTGAATTTCGAACGTGACAATGAGACTGTTTGTTGTTTCAAAGCAATTCCCTAAGTGGCTGTTTGCTCAAGACTTTTGTAGTGTGAACAGAGATTTGGGGGAGGGGAAGAAGCCATCTGCTCTGGAATAGTCTTCCAATTACATGATCAAATTACTGCAGAGCAAAATGGAAGGAGTCCAACAGAAAGTTCCCGTCTGGTGTATCCAGCCCCAACCTGCTCTCTGGGGCCATTGTGTCCATGTGGAGATTCACATGCAGGTTTCAAAGGCAAGGCCATGATCGCCAAGAGTGTGAGTAGGAGAACAGAGAGAGCCAAAGAGGAGAGTCAGGGTGAGCTTTCTTGCTGCATCAACATGCCGCTCGGGAAAATGAAACAGTCATGGATTTGAATTAAAAAGTGAACTTTTGGAGAAACTCAGTTTCTTTTTCTTTTGACTTTAGTGATCTGTGTCTCTGATTACAATTAATTTATCACATGAAATGAAATAGTTACATCCCTTTATAAATTCAGTTGGTGATCTTTATTTGCTGATAACTCTCTTTGTAGATTTGTAAATCTGTTTATTTCCCTTAAAATAGAACAATTTTCTTGTTTTTGAAATACGGACTGTCTTGATTTGCAAAACATCATTGAGTCTTATTTTTTCTTCTAAATATGTGTGTGTGTGGTTTTTTCTTCCTTTCTTTTGCTATTAGGCATTCATGCAGCCTCACTTGCTGGGAAATGAGTTCACACATTTGGAGTTTCCAAGGAGAGTACAGAGAAAGGAACTTGGAAAGAAGATGCTCTACAGGGACTTTAATATGACAGGCTGGTAAGAACATGCCTCCCTCTGCCTCAGCACCACCACAGTATGTGTGAGGGAAGCGTCACCACCGTAAAAAGCCATTTCTGCCGTTCGAATCAGGTAGTACAGCCAGAGACTTGGTTGGTGGTGAAGGAAGAGGGGCCGTGCCCACTTCTGCGGTTTGTTCTCGGCACCAGTCCTCAGATCACAGTGTCGGTTGGCCTTGGTGCTTCTCTGAGGCCCTCCCTAGGGACATGAGACCCGACGAAGCTGACGTAAATCCTCACTTCAGATGAGCAAGCATTTTTGAGGCTTTTAAAACACATTTAAGTTGGTCAGCAGCTCAAAGAAATGAGCTAACAGTTTATTGAGCCAGACGGGTGTGGATGTGAATCTTAACTCTGATCTTTCTAAATAGACAAAGTTGGATAAACTGCAGAACCCTTATGAGCCTAATTTTCCAAGAATAAAGTGGAAAATATATGCTCTTTGAGAGGTTGTTGTAAGGACTAGAGGTAATGAGCCATCTTCATTATTTTTTCACATTCATTTCGAGATAAGAATCTCGGCCAGAATTTGCAACGACGTGGATGGAACTGGAGGGTATTATG